TTGGTGTTGCCACGACCGGTGACAACGGCGTAGTAACCCAATGCCTTCATTGGAAACAGCTTTCCTTCGAGAATTTTTTTTATCTGTAAAGTTTAAGTTTATGCCTCAAATGTGGGCATCATTATGAGCAAAATGAGAAATTACGCGGTTGGGGTTCAAGAGATTTTGTTCCGCCAAATCCACCTTAGTCAACACAACAATCGTTCTTTTTCCATTGGGATCAATCGATGATACGAGGTCGGTAACGTTGCTTCGCTCGGCATCCACTGAGCCATCTAAAACATATGGGCAAATTCATCAAAACAATGTAACTCTTGAATAACGGTAAAAAACAAATCAAATCTAACACCACAGGCTATGTAAATATAATATGTTTAAATAACCTTGAATGCAAAGAATGATCGCATTAGGGTTTTCCATGTATGTGCGACATATAGCAACTATGTCGTCTTTCGTCTCCGTTGCCATCTCTGTGGTAACCGTCTAAACGATATTTCAGTTAATCGTTGCGGCGTACAACAAGGAGAGGACTGTCTTACACTAATGACACCTGGCAGATCGACGAGTACCATTCGAGGAAGGCCCGGACCGTTGACGGTCAGAGCGATAACTTCACTGCTGACCGTTTTCCCATCCTTTACACTGTTCTTCATGCGATACTCGATTTCGTTTCGAAGCTCAACGAGCTTAAAAAGTAAAAACATGAATCGGTATTAAATGAAGCTTATCATAACTACAGCCGTACAGCGTCTAATCTTTCGAACCATGGTTCACGGAAATGAGTTAGTACACTGTTACTTGTGAGTGTTAAAGATTGCTACTTCGATATGATCACTTGTTTTTCAGCACAGGTCAAGAAAAAGATTTTTGAAAATTAAGTAATAAATATACTAATGGAGAATGAGAAGAAAAAAAGCAAAACAAACCTCTGAACAATACAGCCATAGCTGATTTACTGTGCAACAGTAATAAGATAGAAGAACCAGGGTTGCTTTTCAGTTCATGATCTTCGTCATCAGCTCGAACCCAAAGTGAGAGAACTTGTGGTATTAACGAAAATTCGTTTAGTATCACCTGCTTTCCTGATTATTACAAATAATCTAATATTAATTAACCAGAATTAACATTAGCAGCATTACTAATACTACGAGTACTGCAAACATCAGTAGAATTGACGATTCCTTACTAACAACTGCCATGAGAAATTCTAGCAGTGTTAATTCCAGTGAAGTTTCTGACATTTTACTATTATCAGT